TTGGTCATAAGAAATTGTTATGTTTAACTTCAATTAATGCACATTTTTTCATTTTTTCTTACATATGCGACCATTCATAATCCCTTGTAAGAGTCGAGTAATGGTAACATATACATAGGACAACTTAACGTGATTATATTTCAGAGGGCTCAATTGAACCAAAATGATATAAATGGTTTGATTTGATCAAGTGTTAGACTTTGAGGGACCATAATGATTTGTGGACAATAATCTTTGCCACGGTCCTAATCCAGTATACATAGCCCAGATTAGTTCTGTTCCTTTCATTTTATCCAATAAAATACCCATTTTTTGGGTTGAAAACAGGCCATAAGCCCAAAACTACAAGGCGAAGTAGCACAAATACTTTACATTATATCATCCATCCCTTCATTTCTCTTCTCCTCTCTTCTCTTCTATTTCATTGACAACAATCTTTATGATTTCTGAAGTTGAATTAATTACTGTTTTGTGGAATTGCTCAGACCTTTTCCTTGTTCAAAATATATATATACATACAATCTTAGCTGCGATTTCAGTTTTTTAAATAAATTTCCTCGAGGCTACGACTTGTGCAACTCGAATCTTTAAAGAAAATGCAAAGAGTTGATATATACTCAAGGGAGGACAGTAGGACACATTGCCTCCAGAATTTTGTTGTTCTAGCTCCATCAAAACTGTTGCCATGTGCTCTTGGAGAAGTATGGAACACGAAAAGGAATTCATTGGCGATCCCGAGTAACAAAAGCAAGTGGATCTCTCTCGAGAAGAACACAAATTGAAAAAGATATGATGGAAATTATTCTATATATTTTAGATATAAGATACATATTGTATATGATGCTATGTACAAGACCAAATGTATTTTATGTTTTTAGCATAACAAATAGATATTAAAATAATCTGGTGAAAGTCACTAAAGACAGTTAAAAATATTTTGAAATACTTGAGAAGAACCAAGAATGTTTTTTTTTGTTAAATAATATATATGTAATCTTATTTATTAAGGGTAGAATAGTATTTTTAGTTTGACTTATATATACTTTATTTGTATTTAAGTTAAGACTATGCACTCATAATAACACAGATTATTGAGAATTATAAACTTCCTTTTGTGTTTATTCTGAGTTAATTTAACATTTTTAATCTATGAAAGAGATAAACGAGTAATTATTAGATATTAAAAATAGAAAATCCAGTTTGGTTATATTTTACTCTAAATAATGGTGTTGAGTTGGAAAAGTTCTAAATAAAAGATCAAAATAGAGTCTACAATTAAAGTGAAATACACTTCCATATTTAAGGGGATAAAAGAGATTGTTTAGATCAAGAAATTCACCATTAAACTATATATGGTGCATAGCATTATTTATTAAGTAACTATGTATTTGTGATAACAATAGAGCAATTGCAAAAGTAAAGAAGCCAATATCTTATTAATGATTTAAAAATATATTTATACAATTTTATTTGATTAAGAATCATCAAAAGAAATATATGTAAAGATAGATCGAGTTAGTACCCACTAAAAAATCTTATAGATCCTCTTACTAAGCTATTATCCCAATAAAAACATTATCATCAAGTAAATTGATATATCTTTGATGAATCTAATATTTGATTCATTAAATATATTTATTTTTAATAAAAACTTTATTTATCTTTAATAGTCATTAAATATTTTATTGATGAATCTAATATTTGATTAACGAATTTAAAGTAAAGATAATAATTGAAATAAAAATATTTTACAAAGAAAATTATAAAGTCATTATAATTATAGGATTTATGTTGGATCTAAACATTGTTTCTAAATGTTCCTAGTTAATGTTTTATAAAGACCGGATATTAATTAAAGTTATTAATATTGGTATATATTGTATTTTTTTTGTGAAATAAAAAGGTTATTTTTATAAGCTAAGATATAAAAAATATTTAAAATTAATATGCAAGTGATTATTAGATAACACATACACTGAATTATCTACATGAGAACTCTATACGTTAAATCACACTAAATATTATAAATTTCTTTACCAATTCATTATCCTCATAAAAGTAGTGATATAATATCTGATACATTAATATAAGCCTATAATATGAATCTTGTTTAGTATTGTAGCTCAATTATGTTTTTAATTTTTTAATGTATTTAGATGATCTTATTTTATTGTGTAAATAGTAAAAGTAAATTTTTAAAAATATATATTATTTTAATATATTTTTAAATAAATAATAATAATAATAATAAAAACAACTTTTACTTCCACTATGTTATGAGCATTACTAGCAGTGGACTCCTTGCTGTCAAATGACATGACTTGAGCACTGCTAAGATTGGAAGCAATTCTAAATGATAATCCATCCTGTCACGTGATCGGATGCCAACCCATATTGAAATGTAATAAATATTCCCAGTACAATTACACAGTTATACAACAGAGACAGTGAACTCCAGAGAATCCCTTTTTCTTGGTCAATGCATGACTACCTCAAAAGGTCGGAGAAGGGAATGTTCCCATTAATGGAGGCAGCAGTGCCTCTGCACTCAGTCAGAAATAGTTTCATACCAGCCTACCAGGAGTTCCGGTGATGGTTAAATTCGGCAGAACCTTCTTTTCAGCAGCAGACTGACTCGTCAACTCGGCAGAAATAGCATAACGCATCTACTCGCGATGATAATCAAATTTACCATGTAATGGACAGACACAAGAACTAGACCTCCGAACAGTATCATTCTGATCGAACACCACGTAAATGCCCCAAAGGGGCTGAGGAAATCCTCAAGCACAGAACATTTTCAATAGAGGGAGATAAAGGGACGATTACTCTCTGTCAATTATCACCTGCTGAGAGGGCTGGGGGGCACTTCTGGCATCCTGCTCAATTTAATTCAAATGATTGAATACAAAATCAATAATATGATTAGAAATATAGCAGTTTATATTCTCTTTCAAAAAATTAAAGAAGAAAGTGGCTGAATTTTATTTTTTTTCATGCATAATAACAATTTTTCGACAGGTGAACCTTAGGAAAGGTAAAGCGGTAGGACCTTCAGTAATGATTATATTCAAAACATCGAAGTTACTTTTTCTTTTTTTTAATTATTCTAGACTAATGTTCAACTTAGATATCATTATATTTATAAAAAGAAAACTTAAATATGATTGTTGAGTATAATATATAGAAACAACCTAGATTATTTACCCGTGCTCTATGTTATACTATAGATTAAATTAATTTTTTATTAAAAAATTATTTAGATATTATTAATTTGTTTTCAAAAAAGAAACAAGTATTAAACTATAGGGAGATTCAAACAATATATCTATGTCAACTTCACAAATTCAAAAGTAACCTAAACAACTAGAAAACAAAAAAACAAACAAAAATAGTTTGATTTATAAAAAAATTTAAAATGATTTTTTAAAAAAAAAAATAGTATTGAGACAATAACATATTAGATCAATTAGATCAACCTGAGTTATTGAGACAATAACATATTAGATCAATTAGATCAACTTGAGTTAACATATCAAAATAAATTATTAATTTAAAATTTTAATTAATATAATATTAAATGATAAAATTAAAAAAAAAAGATAAAAAAAAATTTGAGTTAACTAAGTTTAACTAATGAAACCCTTGATTTAGGATATCAGACAAAGATAATTTTATAAAAATAAATCAAAATAAATTATGAAACTTAATATTCAATCAACCCAAATAGTAAAAATTAAAATTAAAAAAAAATAATTACTAAAAAAGATAGAAAGAAGAAGAAGCTAAGTTAACCAAGTTAACTTACAAAACTTTACAAAACTTTTGACCTAGTTCATGACACTCAAATAATTTCATATAAAATAAGTTGAAATAAATTATAAAACTCAATCACCAATAAATTTAATATTAAATAATACAATTAAAAAAACAAAAATAAAATTAAAATTCTAGAAAAAATATTTTTTCAAATAATAGTACTTTATGAGGAGGGAACATTGATTGGCCCTCCTTAATTAGTTCAAAAATATATTGTTATTTTTTTTTGTTTCTAATAACATTTTTGGTTGTTCAACATTTTTTTTCTATATTAAAGCAACCGTCATGTTGACCTCAATGGGAAAAAACCATTATGAAAATATGAAAAACTTTTTAATGCTAATTTTATTTGTGTTTTTTTGTTTTTAAAAGCATTTTAATTATTTTATTGTATTTTTAAAATAAAAAAACTTATTTATTCTCAATCAATTTAATTAATAATAGCTAATGAACTTAAAAATAAAATAAAATTCAAAGCCAGTTTAGTGGATTAAAAGGTTATTATTGCTTCCGGTAAATAATACAAATGTCATTGTCCCTACGTGTTTTATCAAAGCTTATTTGGTGCTGTCAATATTGTTCCATGCACTTTTTTATTCAACCAATTATATTGGAACTTATCTTACAGACAACTGAAGATGAAAAGATAGATTGATCGGGAGCACATCACCAGATTGACAGATCGACCTTAAATTGCGGGAGGAACTGTGATAATGCTGGACTCTTTAATTAGCCATCAGCGACTTCGAAATTTGGATCATCCTCGTTGATATTGTAGTAATGCAATATAATTACCGATCATCTTGTGGGCTGTTTGCCGTCAGTCTGTTCCATGGCATTTGTGCGTTTAGGACGTACAAGCTCATATCATCATACCCAGGCAAGGGAAAACACTGGACTCAATTTCGAGGATTGGTTAGATTTTATGTTTATTTTTTAGAGATTGTTAATTTAAGTTTTATAAATTTTAGAATCTTTAAAATTAAGTATAAATTAAAGTGAACACTTATATTAAGAAAAAAAAGAAGCTAATTTCAGACATGTTAGTTGGAGCAAATATAAATGACCACAGATAACAATTATAGGTCATAATTACCATCAAATCAGGTCGAAAATTAAGGGTAAAAGTCCATCCACATCTTTATAAAGAAAAGCTGCCTGAACCAAACCAATCAAATCCGCCCTGACTGTGTCCTGGCCAAGTCTTCTTGCACAGACAAATCAAGCCTGCTTATCTTCCTCCTTTGTTATAGCAAGCCTTAACGTCTTGATCTAATTCTGAATAAAGAGAGAGAGGGTTTGAGTTTCTTCAGAAATTCATCAGAAAGTTGCGAAGATGACTGACACAGGCACTGTTAGAACCATTGTTGGCATCGTTGGTCCGTACTTCTGCAAAACCTTATCATATTATTTTAGCAAGTATAATTAGAGATTAACTTCGATAATGTTTCGATGCTACACACACACACACACACTTAGAATCATAGATCTGAGAAAGGTAACCATTTTTTACACCATGAGGCTGTTCTTGTTTTCTTGACAATATCATGCATGCATGGTTGCATATTCTCACTAGATGTAGCAGCTTAAATTCATCTCTTTAATTTGCAGGAAATGTTATATCTTTCCTCCTATTTCTCTCCCCCATGTAAGATCTTCTTGTTGCTCTACATCCTCCTCCCTTGATGGTAATCTGATTCAACTAACTATTAGTTAATTAATGCAAGAACATTGTTTCTGCAGTCCCACTTTTGTGAGGATTATAAAGGAGAAGGCAGTGAAAGATTTCAAATCCGATCCCTATGTAGCCACCTTGCTCAATTGCGCAATGTGGATCTTCTATGGCTTGCCGTTCATCACCCATGACAACACTCTTGTGGTTACAATCAACGGTACTGGTTTTGTCATAGAGTGTGTCTATGTGGCCATCTTCTTCATATTCTCTCCCGGGAAAAAGAAAGTACGTTGAGATCAATAATTTTTTGCAAATTTCTTTCATGCATCTATATCAATTATAATTTATTCTTAAATCTCAGACCCGGATCATCATTGAACTGCTCATTGAAGTGATCTTCATGGTCATCGTAATCCTGATTACCGTTTTCGCCTTCCATACCATGAAAACAAGGGCTTTGTTTATTGGGATATTGTGTATCATCTTCAACGTATTTATGTACTCGTCACCATTGACAGTCATGGTATGTGCTTCTTCCATGGAGTTTATAATTTCTTACATTTGATTTTGTTAATTGTTATGTTAGCATGCAATAATGGCTCACCTGGTACAATGACTTCAGCGATTTACATTTATGATCTTGTGTTCATGACTGATGAATATTCTTTAAATTAACAAGCATAATCACCGTGCTCGTGAAGGATATATACATGCACTCACCTCACCTCCAATGCCATTTGATTAGTAAAACACAAAATAGCCAGGACAGTGCTTGAGGATGCAGGAGTAGCAGTAATTATTTAACTCTAACTTGTGGGTTTATATATACATCGATGCAGGAGTAGCAGTAATTATTTAAATCTAACTTGTGGGTTTATATATACATCGATTATATCTCAATGATCACTTCTCTTTTCTTAATTGTATAATCTCATATTTCTCAAAAACATGATCAAACATGCTTTAAATTTCATTATTAATTTCTGAATTTAATTATTTAAATTAATAAGAGAAATAAAACATTTTGCTTATATAAATTAACGTATCCTTTTGGAGTGCATGTTAAGAAATCTATAAGACAAATAGGTTGAATGCTTTTTCTTTTTTATCATATGCTAAATCATGCTTATTCAACTTGAATTCAATGACTTAAATTTAAGACAGTCATGTTATTTCTCAATCCATTTTATATGCTTATCCTTGCATGTTCTTTCTTGGTTTGAATTTTTTTTTTTTATACACACACACACCCCCCCTTGTTTTTTTTTTTTTTATACACACACACACACCCCCCCCTTCACAGAGAATGGTAATAAAGACAAAGAGTGTCAAGTACATGCCATTCTATCTCTCTCTCGCCAACTTTACCAACGGACTGGTTTGGGTGATCTACGGACTACTTGAGTTTGATATCAACCTCGTGGTAGGTCACCATCGTACAGAAACTAACTTCTGTTTTTTTTGTTTTTCATGCAAATTACCTTCAGTTAACCATGAAAAGATTGTCTGTTGATCTTTTGACAGCTTCCCAATGGCTTGGGTGCGTTATCTGGGCTGATTCAGCTCATACTCTATGGAATCTACTACAGATCGACCAAATCGGATGATGATAATGATGTTAGTGGAAACCGATCTGTGGTTGAACTCTCCTCTACTTAGTCTCCACAACAGAGTCTCTGGTCATTTGTCGTACTTTAATCGTCAAATCGCTGGACGAGCCTGGTTTCAGGATTAATAAATCACATATGTGAGCTTAATGTTAGGTGGTTCACTGAGGCTTATCAATTTACAAGCCAGAAATTAAAAAAAATAAAAATTCAATACAAAGTTCGGCTTGATTTTCCTATCAGAAAACTGAAACCTTTGATCTCATTACATTAATCTTGAACTACCAGTACAGCGGGCTTCCTTTGTGTTTCCCATCTTTTTCAGCCTTCGTATATATGGAAAAGACAAAGGAAGTGAAAGAGACGTTTCCTAGTATCGTCTCACTCTCATCACAAAATCCCACTGAGGTTATTAATTCTGTGGCCATGAAAACAACACAGGAGAAATGATTTTTCTACAGGAGATGGCTTCCTATTTGGACCTGTAACCAGGGTTTCCTAGCATATTAAGCAGCCACAATTTCAACCAAACCTAGAAGATCTATAAATTATCTGTCTTGATGCACCAGCAGGAAGTGCATATACATACCATGTCCTTTCCTTTGAAAGCAACTCGAATTCATTTTTACCCCAAATAAATAAAAGACGGCAGGCATATGAACTGCAAAATATTTAACAATGGACACGAACCAATGGAAAGGAAGGAAGAGTGCTAATCAACTGGGATTTAACATTGATATTAGTTAATAGCTTTATAGACCTTATACATGAAGTAATCAAACCAGTCTAGCATGCGAGGCAATTTGAGTAAATACACGTTTGAAAACCACCCTAAAAAATATTACAAGAATAGAGCAGCAAAATAAAGAGCATTACCTCGATAAAGTTAGATGTAATGCAGCTCCTCCACCTATATCCACCATCATCATTCTCCCCCATTTGATATATATGATATATTATATCTCCTTTAACTCCAAGGTTTACGTTGGACTCCCAAAAACCTTAAACAATATATCACTGTTCATATCCTTCAAGGGCCTCGATGCCTGCGGAAGCAAAAACAACCACTCTGTTGATCAGGAGGGATCACGCCCCCACCTTTTGATACGTCAATGGCCTCGAACATGGAGACTACCTCGTCCATCTCAGGGCGCTTGTCAGGGTTAGCATCCCAGCAACGCTTCATTACATTTGCTAGAGAGCTTGGGCAGCACCTTGGTATATCTGGTCTTAGATTCTACAGTCACAAAACAAGAGGAAAATTACATGAAGTTGTGAACCTCAACTGAATATTCCTTTTATTTGTTTATACCATAAATAAACCTTGGGTGAGATTCCCAGAAATGAATGAGAAAGGAGAATATGCCACACCTGGCGGACCACAGCTGAAGTTACTTCTGAGAAAAAGGTCAGGATAAGGCATGTCACAACAATATATCTCCCATAAACAGATGCCGAAACTGTACACGTCACATTTCCTGTTATATGGATTGCCATTGAGAACCTGTAACCAGCCACATAATGAGACTGATCCTTGACTTAAATCAATTTTTCATTTTTGTCAACTACCAAGAAAATGTTCAACATTTTGTAAAGCTGAATTACTCAAGTTGCATAAAAGCAAGATCTTTTGATCATTACCCAGAACAGGACAAAATGAAAATTGAAGAAGAACGACAAGATAAAAAGATTTTTAAATGGAAATCATGCCTTTGCACAACCAGGTATAACCTTCATAACACACATACAGTACCTATCAAAAGAGCTTCCACTGATTATGGTTTCAGTGAATCATGAGAAGATTGCATAATTCAAACCAGATAAATGAGACAAATTGAACAGAGGTAAACTCTTTACCTCAGGAGCCATGTATCCGAGTGTTCCAGTTTCCCCAGTCATATCATTAGGATTTGAAGCCTCAATACGAGCAACACCAAAGTCAGCAATTTTTACAGTCCGTTTCTTATCCAATAGCATGTTTTCAGTCTTTACATCTCTGTGAACAATATTCTGTGAGTGAAGGTAATTTAACCTACAACATACAATCAATTTTCATTCTAATCACTTAGTTAGCTTGAGAAACAATCACTCTCGAACAGCCTAGATATAATCAATGAAGAAAAGAAAAGAGAGAGAGAGGGATGATAATATAGCGTACCCTCTTGCAAGATCAAGTGCCAGCTCAACAACAACTTTGAAAAGCTAGCTTTCTTCTCCTGTTCTTTATAAGGTAAGATTTCAGGGCCCCTCCAGCAAGATATTCCACAACAACACAACATATATTATTTGGCATCCCAATTTGACCATTTGCGGTTTGTATTTGCAGATCCGCTGAGCCCATCGTCGCCCCTATAAACTGCACTTCAAAGAGCAAAATCAATATAAGTTACTGCCAAGAAGTTATACTATCGTATCTAAGACACTTGAATTGAAAAGGTTCAAGATCTGCAATTTTCATAATTGCAAATAACAGATAAACCAATATCAGCAATCAACAACAATTCTATTCTATAACACATCTAAAGCAATTGGAATGAGTTGATTATTGAACTTTGGCAATATATCATCGTCAGAGCCCAGAGAAAGCCAGGATATCAAGAATGAGCACGATCAATGTGGACAATGGGAAAAGGCAGCAATAAAATTAATGGAGCAAGATGCATTGAACTTGCTACAAATTTATTCTTTGGATTGTACAAAGACAAACCAAATGCAATCTTAAAGGTGAGTTGCAGATACTTGAGTGATGGAGGACCTGATAAAAATCTTGGGAATCTTTGTTTGGAAAGGAAAAAAGTGAGCTATTTACTTTTATTTTCTTATTTGTTTGACTCTTATCCTTCACATGATTTGGAATTGGCTATTTGATGATAATTGAAGCCAAGCACAATTTCTCTCCAATTTACATACCTCTCTTTTCCTCTCATCTTTTTTTTTTCCCTGCTCTTCTTCCCCTTTCTCCTCTCAATTAACGAGTGAAAAACACTTTTTAAGGCACCAAAGAATCCCATGGAGTTTTATCAAATTCATTTTTCACTGCTCACTTCCAAAGCTAGAGTTAAGAAAACACCACAATTTAGCCAAAGTCTCTATATCCTCACACACCAAATGCTCCAGAAAAACAACATAAGGGGCAACCTGCAGAAACTCAATTGCTGACTAAAGCATATACACAAGAAAATCATAGGACAAGCTGAATAAAAGTCGTAGGACAATGCATTCGAGTCTTCTACTGAAACGAAGGGTAAACAAGGCGCAAATCATAGGAAAAGCTGAATAAAATTCCCAAAACATGCACCGATAAAAATGAAAAGTAATACATTGTAGAAAGCAAAAAATGAAGAACACAGTAAAGACAGGACCAATACAAAACTTATACTTCAGTTCCACCATGCAAAGATAATTTTCATGATTTCGGGCCACATTAAAGAAAGTCAATGAAAAACAAGTATTTACAAAAAAGAAAGAAAAAATGAAACTACAAATTAGGAGGAAAACCTCAACGGTCACGGTTACCCAAGGCATTAAACTACTATTCTTTCCAACCCTTTCTTAAGTAGAAAAATGACAAATACAAGGCACTCACCACAAGGCTGAGAACCAGTTCATGGCTCTTGGACCGACTCCAACCAACTGCCCAACCCAACAAAACCAGGAAAAAATAAAACAAAGAAAGAAACTGATAACTGAGTTTAAGCTTTTCGATAATCAGCACATGAGAAGGGAGCAGTAATAAAATTAATTTCACAGCCTTCACCACAAAGGCAAGATTTATGAAAGTGAACGTCATTTGAGGCAATGGTTATCAGATTTGTAGATATGGACAAACATATAAAAAACAAAAATTTGCAAGGTTGAAAACGACCTTAGCAACATTGGGATGATAAAGCTTATGCCAAACAGCAACTTCTTGAGTAAAAGCTGCCCTTAGTGCTGCAATCTCAGCTTCTGTCCTTTGACCCTCTTCACCCCAGTCAAGCAATTTAACTAACGATGAACAGAGACAGAACCTTTGTTAGTAAAACAAGAACGAGTGATGCTTGTAGTTATCAGATCCATATTCCTTACATTAACAAACAAGTGGGAGTGGGATCAAATGAACTTTTAAAAATAATCAATTTCAGTTCAAACCCATGTAGAAAAATCAGAGATTGCAGAAGACTTAATCATCACCTCCTTCAAAACTCATTACTGTGAATAAAAATTTCATCTTTTCCAAAGACAGGAAAAAAAGGGTGGGAGGTAGAAAGCAAACCAAAGTGGTGAACTCCTCACCGGCGACATCCTGGCTATCATAGACGCCACGGTGGACAGTGCCAAAGGTACCACGTGCAATGACAGTCTTGATGGCGAGCAGAGTAGGGTCGATCTCCCATTCCTGCCTCTGCTTCTTGAAAGGGGTGACTTTAGTGCTGCAAGGAGTAGATGAGAGATTAACAGCATCAAAAACAACAACATCATCATCTCTCTTGTTCTTGTTTTCAAGAGTTAACACTCTATTGAGATGCCTCTCCAATTGTTCATCTAGACTTTTTAGATCAATCTGATCTGCTCTCACAAATCCATCACTGCTATCCTTCATTTTATCTAGAAAAAGTATTGTTTTCCTTTCCTTTACTTTCCCATTCTCTCTCTAAAGAAACTGAGTGACAGCCTTGTGCATAGGTTAAAAAGAAAAAGAAACAAAAGGAAAGGAGAGATTTATTGTTCTTGTGTCCAGCTACAATAAGCCATGTGGGCACATGCAATTGCCTTCAGGCTCTATTCTGCATAACGTGGTGCTCTTCCCATTGTATCTTTGAATTCTTAGTCTGAGTTTCTTTTCTTCGTTTCTTTCTCTTCTCCCATCATTTTATTATTTATTGGAACTACAAGTATTTTAATCTCCCCCATTTCCATTTCCCTGTGCTCTGTTCTCCTCCTCCTCCACCATCAATTACTGCTTCGTTCAATTTCACTAGCTCCTACTCCATGTTATGATATGATTGACATGCTTCATCTCAACTCAAAGGATGGTTTTGACTTCCACTCCATCTATTTTGTCCAGTTTTTCTATGCGGTAGTATCCCATTTGCGGTGCGACGACATCCATGAATTTCTCTTTGAGTTTAGAAAATAAAATTTTAAATGAAAATAATTATTACTTTAATACTAAACACTTTCTTTTGTATACAAATATACGATTCAGTTTTTTTTTTTTTTTGAAGCTTAACTCATCGTTGTTAAAGGAGCGAGAATTGCAAGAATCCAATATATTCCATTTGGTTTTCCATTCTATGTTCTCCCTTTCATTTTGTCTTTAATAATTTAAGTTTTGCTTGGACTGTGTATAACAATGTTTTCTCTGTAATTTCTCCCAGCTGGTTTCTGTTTCAGATTGATTATCGCTAGGATGTGTGCTTGGTTGCAGTGGCGCCACCAATTGAGAAGTGGTTGTCGTTCTTTTTCTCTCAACTCTAACCTTCCATCAATCCAATTTTGTTTTGTTTTTTGTTTGGTGGTTTAGCTCCTCCTCTTTTATCTACCACTAAGCTTTTCCTTTTCTTTTCTCGTTTTTCCTCTTTTCTTGAGTTTTTTCTTCTAGGTTTATCGATGATTTCTTAATTATGTCGTCATCTGCTTTGTCAGGTTACGACGGCTCTCTCC